TCCAAGCAACAGCTGCCGGGTTAATACTGCAGCAACACGCAGTCCGTGTGCTAGCAGCAACAGCAGCAGCAACAGCAGAACAAGCATCAACGGCAGCAGCAGCAGCAGCAAAACATCTGCTGCAGTACCAGCAGCACTTCTTCCGCAACATCAGAGAGCCTGCAGCAACAGCAGCACCAGAAGCAGTAACGCTTCGAAATTGCAGCAGCAGCAGCAACAACAACTGCACCTGCAACTGCAGCAACAACAACAGCAGCGAGAGTAGCAGCAGCTGCAGCTGCAGCAGCAGCATTAGCAGCGTGCGCAGCACCAAATGCAGCAACAGCACCAACTGTAGCAGCAGCAGGATCATCATCATCATCAGCAGCAGCAGCAGCAGCAGTACCAACTGCAGCAGAACCAACCAATTGCAGCAGCACCTCCAACTGCAGCAGTAGCAGGGCTATCATCCTCAGCAGCAGCATCAGCTGCAGCAGCAGCAGCAGCAGCAGCAGCATCAACTACAGCAGCAGCAGCAGCATCAGCTGCAGCAGCAGCAGCAGCAGCACCAACTTTAGCAGCAGCAGGATCATCACCCTAAACAGCAGCAGCAGCTGCACCACCACCACCTGCAGCAGCAGGCTCATCACCATCACCATCAGCAGCAGCAGCAGCAGCAGCAGCAGTATTGAAGATGTTGCAGCTGCTAAAGAATCAAGTAGTTACTTCTGTTGCTAAGCAACAGGTGCAAATAAGACAGCTGGAGTTAGACTGGTATACAAACAACTACTGGACTCTGTCGCAGCAAGGCAAGACAAATAAACCCTAAACCCTAAACCCTAAACCCTAAACCCTAAACCCTAAATAATAAGATAACGTTAGGGTTTTAGATAATATATATAGATATAGATATAGATATAGATATGGATATAGATATAGATATAGATATAGATATAGATATAGATATAGATATAGATATAGATATAGATATAGATATATAGATATAGATATAGATATAGATACAGATATACAGATATATATATATATATATAGATTGGTGTGTACGCTTCAAACTAAACAAGCATAAACCAGTAAGACAATAGATAAATAAAAAAGTATAAATAAATAAATAAATAAATATAAATATGTATTTAACAAGGTTGATAGATGCAGAGAGTTTGTGAATGTGTGTGTATTTGCGGTGTCTGTGCAGCTGCTCTGCTGGCCGGTTTTGCTTTTACTCAGATAACAACATCTCTTCCTAGCGATTTATCGTTTAGTCTTGAGATGTCGTATTTAATTTTTGCTGCAGTGTCTCTCGGGCTGCAGCTTTGTGTTATTATTACAGCAACTTTCTGCTGTATGTGGGGCCCAGGCTTAGCTTTGAGGGGCCCTGACGGTGCTTACTCAGTAGAAGAAGCTATTAAGAGTTTAAAAGAAGAGCAAGGAGTAATATTTAGTTTATTTATAGCTGGGATGCTGTCTTTCTTTATATCAAATATGCTGCTTCTCTGGTGCTATTATGATACATTTGTTGCTGCTGCTGCAACCCTACTCTTTGCTTCTTTCTTATGCCTTCTTCTTTATTTTGCTGTCTCTTTATTTATACAACTGCGTGTCTCCTCTTCTATTGCTGTAGAAGGCGGTATAGATGCTCTCAAAGTGTATGCGGATATTAAAGACTTAGATGCTTGCTGCACAAGCCCTGTACTTGCTGCTGATCCTGCAGATGCAGCAGCAGCAGCAGCAGCAGCACCAGCAACAGCAGCAGCATCCCCTGCTGCACAAGCAGCAGCAGCAGCAGCAGAAAGAGGCAGAGGTACTTCCTTCAGACCCGAGCAGCAGCCTCCTTCTGATGAGAGGTAATCTGCTTTATAAAACCCTATGCATGCGTATTGCAGACACTCTAAACTGTCTCTTCAATATCAACTGTCTCTTCAATATGTCTCCTTAATATAAACTGTCTC